TCGCATCTGTTGCTGCGGTTTTCGGAATACGCGATCCTCCAACGTCGGGGGCGACGGAGGTGGTGGCCGGGCTCAAATTAGATCGCGACGTCAGCCGTGTAACAAATTGATGACCGGAAAATCAAATGGGATTTATGGGTTTACATCGGCCGCGAGAGTCCCACGCGACCGGCCCAACGGGAACCACGGACCCGTTGCATTTACCTAATACGCTTATAACTCGATAAAACGCTCCGTCGCTGACGTTGACGGATTCTGGAATACTTGGAACGATACCAAACGAATCGTGAAACGCTGGATAATTAGGAACATTTCACTGTTCTGATCCAGCGATGGAATATGCAGTCTATGTTTTGATGGAGGCTGTGATTTAATTACGAGCTCTAAATAAATATTAACAACAACTTTTCTTGTACCAGCAGGCGTTGACGACTTCGTTCACTTTCTCGCTGCATAATTTATCGCATTATTCGTGCAGGCTATAATAATGCATAATTTACCATATCACGGACATCATAATTAGAATGCGGAAGTTTATGCAGATTCACAATTTTGAATATACAGGATGAGTCAATAAAAAATATTATATAAAATAACTCGTTTTCTATTGATTGTATCGGAAAACATTTTAATGAATTATGTAGCATTTTGAAGATGCATCCGATATTAATTGCACGCGTATTCAGTAGAGTCAAAGTCAATTTTATCAATAATGGAGTCTCAAATAAAAAAATTTTATTTTGTATTTTCGACTTACTTTTTCACGTAGAATCATCCCCTACCCGGTTGTACCACCAGTTACACGACACTCTGTATAACAAAAATGGATGTAACTTTAATTGTTGTGCCAAGGATTACTACGGTAATGATGTTACATAAATAGCATGAAAGTTTATTATAACCTTTATTTTAATACATTTTGCAATTCATGAGATGCTGTGAATGCATAAATATTCGCAGGTCTAGTTGTAATAATCGTGATACATTGTTATCGGTATGATGCGCTCGTTACCGAAAATTACCATGAAATAAATACGGAACACCGAATTTAAAATTCCCGGAAAAATAATTACGCGTACTGTGCGGCAACAAATCATAAATTATGGCGAGTCACGTTATTATGATTTGCATTTCACTGAGCTGCGGAGAGAATAATAAACACGTCATGTTCTTTTCTGTTCATCGTGCAGATGTAATAATATGTTTTTACTGGATTATAAAGCCCTTTGAATTAGTCTGGCTACTTAAGTAGCAGAATATATATTCTGGTACTCAAGTGCTGTACAACACCTGCAAAATATATAACAATCACTTGAAAAATATAGGATACAATAAATTACGTAAGAAATAATAAACTAATATTATTCCTGTGGTGACACAACATTTCTGGTGGGAAAGGTATAATAACCTTGGAATGTTGACTGTTAACACGTTTGTTACAATCGTAATAAGCGAAAGTATAAACAATAAATTAAACTGTTTGCAATTCTACAACGACAAATCTGTTACAATCTTATCACAATATTCCCATGCAGCTGAGAGAATTCATTATTCGATCCTTGTACAGTGTCTATTAGATACCATTTTGAATCAAATTCTCAAGAGCTTGCACTTAGCTTAACAGCTTACAAGAACTTATTCGAATTAACAGTAATTTCAATTAGTTGGTACAAAGAGACAGGAACTTCTCAAATTAATACGTTTAAACAAAACATATAGAAGGAACGAGGAAGTTCAGACCAACCCGTAAATAAAAGATCAGGAGTATCTGAAATTAACACGTTCTAAACATTCATTTAGAAGGAATGAAGAAATTTACACTAGCTCGTACAAAAGGCCAGACATTTCTCAAATAAATACGTTCGAAAATTCATTTCGATGTACATTTCCACATTGGAAATTCATTTAGATATTCATTTAGAAGGAATGCCAATTAAAACGTGATATTTATCATTTCGTCTATCGCGTTTCCATTCTCTGATTCGCGCATACAATATTATAATCCTGTATGTATTTCTATCGGGCTAATTGATCTTCAAACATTCCCAACGACATAATAAAAGACATGTTCGTCTTCGTAACGATACCACTTATTCCGTGCAGCAATAATTTCCTCAAACTGCTCATTCCATTTATTTCACGGAGAGGGAAAAAAAGTCACACGCGATCCTGTTTATCAAACGAACGATCCGTTCGTGACACGATGGAAAAGTGAACGCGCGTCGGCATGGAGGACCCACGATACAATCCGCGGCTACTTATTATTCGATGCGTTAAAAACCGTGTCAGATGAAATATGATAATCGTTACTCGAGCCACGCCCGGTTTATCATATTTCTTCCGGGCGCATTATCATAATGGCGTCGTGCACGTGATCGAGCGTATTCGGCCTTTCCCCGGTGAGGAGCAGTGTTTCCATCCCCCGGCTCGAGATTGATGCTGCCTTTCAAACGAAAGTCGAGCGCACCCGGGCGAAATCTGTCCGACGAGCTGCCTATATGTCAACGATCAATTTGAGGCTTGATCGTATCTGATTCATCGAAGAAAATTATAATTATATTAAAAACTTAATTTACAATAAATGATCTTGCGAAGAGAATAAAAATGTATGAATAGTAAAAAATATGTAGAAAAAAAGGAATAGTACTGAAGGACGTTTAAAATGTAGATAAATCAACGAAGGACAAAGGAAAAAATAAATATCTATAGAATTTTTACAAAAACTAAAGGAATGTATTAATGTTGCAATAATACGTTGTATAGGTATACTACCGCTCGTAAGTATTTTGCGCTCCCATTGATGAAAAGATTCCTCGTATACCCTTGAATATTGCTAACCTTACAGTTTTTGGAAACTTACTTTTATAAATCTCATAGAATGTAAACACTATTTATTCCCCGGCAAAATACGTACAAATTCCGCTTAATAAACCAAAGAATCAAATAATCGCCGAAAAACGAATTCCAGCAGAACAGAGAACATGAAGTGTATAATTAAAACGCTCTTGCGATTCGGCCAGGCGCGTTTCAAACGATTGAATTTTTAAAATTTCAAGGGACAAATTTTTTTGTTGGATTTAAATGGACACGGGGTCAACGATCCCCCTGTCCGAGGATAATGAATCCCATTCCTACTTGACTTTAATCTATCGTAGAATGGTTACGCGCAAGCATCTCTCTCCTCTTTGTTTTTTGGTTCGTACGCGGCGTCACGCGGAAAAACGTCGCGTAAATTGCGATACGCTGCGAAAATGGTAACTTTCAACGTACCATAGAATACAGTATAGAAGCTCTCGCGAGCCCCGAAAAATTCGGCTCCCGTATAATATCCCGACGCTTTCACAATGGAACGCGAAACGTGTAGCTTCTAATTCGAACCAGAGAACGAAAGAAGGAGGTTGAAAAAAAAAAAGAAAAACTTGCTGAAAGTCCGATCCTCTATCCGGCCATTACAAGATTACTTTTCAGCCGTTCTCGGGCGCGGTTGGATGACCGGAGCATAATTAATTATCGAGCGGCATTAAAATACCGGGATACTTCGACCCCGTAGATTTCTAGTGATAACGAGGTGGTTGGTTAGAAATAAAGAATGTAGATTGGAAGATCTTGTTACGTGCGACGCCTGATAACAAAAACTGAATAACCGTAATATTGTGTTATTAACCCTTGGAATAGCTTATGATTTTCTGGGTATCATCCGAAAACAGCTTGAGAAATATGCGATTTCTGAGGTATCTATTAAAATTAACATATTTCTCCTAAAAGTGTAGATATTATCATGTTTTTTCATTTTATTTTATTATTACTATCCAGTAAACGTATATTCCACTATATAAACGTATTTTATAAAAATATAATGTTATTACATGTATTTAAATTATATTAAAAATGGAAAGTCGATATATCAGCTGAAAGTAGTTTTCGGAAACCCCGCAAAGCCGATATATAGGTATATCGGCTCTAAAGTACTAAAAGGTAGAAGAAAGAATCTCCAGTAAATAAGAGAAATAGAAAAATGAAATAGAGGAATGAAAAATTAACCTAACATTTCAACAATTATCAACAAATATTAAAAGTATATTACCCTTTTCATATAGTTGTCTGAAATCATCGTCGATGATAACCACAAACGTGCAGTCGATGCTATGTTGAACACATACCAAAAATTAAAGAGAAAGAAAATGAACAGTTAACGAAACTTCAACAGTTATAGAATTTCTGTCGACACTGGTATCGAAGAAAACGACGAACCCGCCTAAAAAAAATCAACAGCATCGGTACCGTTTAAATCAGGCATTTCATGCGCAGCAGCCGAACAACATTATTCAAATTCTAATCAGCCACACGCGCAAGGCTAATCACAGAGTTTAGGTTTACGTTACGTGAAAGCGTTACCATGTTTCTTGTGCCCGTGGTGTGCAACGATCCGTGTGCCACCAAGCAACACTAGCTGGCGCATTAAAATCCTATCCGTGAAACTTCGACACCGTCGATTCCTCGAGATAACGGATAACGTTGCTGAAAGTATGAAAGCCAAACCTCCGACCCTAACCACACAGGGGGGCGGAGGGGGGGGG